TGTGCCGAGAGGCCGTTCTTCGTGCCCGAAGTCGTCTGCCGGGCGAAGGCGTCCAGAGCAGGCGAGAGCAGCCGCCGCCCCGACCCGGCCCAGAGCCTCGGCCCGACACCATGTCCTCCGCCAGGTTCGACTCCTCAGACCGCTCCTCCTGGTACATGGGGCCGGTGTCTCGCCAGGAGGCGCAGAACCGGCTCCAGGGCCAGCGCCACGGCATGTTCCTCGTCCGCGACTCCTCCACCTGCCCCGGGGACTATGTGCTGTCGGTGTCCGAGAACTCGCGAGTCTCCCACTACATCATCAACTCACTGCCCAACCGCCGTTTTAAGATCGGGGACCAGGAGTTTGACCACTTGCCGGCCCTGCTGGAGTTCTACAAGATTCACTACCTGGACACCACCACCCTAATCGAGCCTGCGCCCAGGTACGCGAGCGCCCGCGCTCCCCGGGCGTGCAACCCACCGGACCCCCAGGAGGGTCGACAGTGGCCGGGTTGGTGCATGGGGTCGATCCAAAAGAGTGTGTGTGTGTGTGTGTGTGTGTGTGTTTATGAATGAACTCATTTCCCCCCTCTTCTGAAGCACATTATTGTCCAGAAGGCATTCCGAATGGAAGGCTAGTGTCAGGATCTGGGTCACTTTGGCTGAGGGGGATGCGTCTTAAACATGTTAATGGCGGTTGCATAGTTAAAAATTAAAATGTACGTATTGGGTTTTTTTTATTGCCATTCGTCACCTTCCCTATTTGGTTATCATATGAAAGCAGGGTTTTGTTGTTTGGGTTTGTTTTGTTTTGTTTTTGTTCTTACCTTTTTTTTTTTTTTGGACCATAGACGGCTTTGCGAATCTGAACGCTAGCCGTGGCATCCTCCCTCTCCCCCAAAATGCATGTACTCACACGTTTGCACACCATTCAGGGTTCTTGGATTCCCTGCAGATATCTGAAAGCCAAGTTAAGAACTTCTGCCCAGCAGGCTTTGACAAATTGAAATGCTTTAGCATTGAGAAACAAAACCCTTTAACTGAAATATCAGAATTGTATATTAATAGCTTGGTGCCAAGTTTGAAATAGCCAGACACTTATTATAGCATACATTAAATGCAAAAACTGGAAAAGAGGGCACATTGGTTTCAGTGAGGACTTTTAAATTTTTATTTTATTTTATAGTTTTTCTTAAAGCTGGACCGTTAATAGGTTAACTTCATTTGGTTAAATTACAAGGCAAAGTAAGACTAGAATGATTACTTACTACTGTAAGGAAAATTTTCGATTGACATTTTCTTTATATCCTACTTGATTTTTAAATGTATATTTTATATCAAGGCTAATGACTTAATACCTGTTTTTAGAATTAAGAACCCTAAGTGACACCGAGCATCAAGCATTGCCTTTTCCACGTAAAATACATTCTTTTAAAAATATGTATATTTTTGCCCTGACTAGTTTGGCTCAGTGACTAGAGTGTCAGCCTGCAGACTGAAGGGTCCCAGGTTCGATTCCAGTCAAGGGCATGTACCGTGGTTGTGGGCACATCCCCAGGAGGAGGTGTGCAGGAGGCAGCTGATCAATGTTTCTCTCTCATTATCGATGTTTCTAACTCTCTATCCTTCTCCTTTTCTCTCTAAAATCAATAAAGATATATTTAAAAAGCAAATAAAATAAAATATGTATATTTTTATTGGTTTCAGAGGGGGAGGGAGAGAGAGAAACATCAATGATGAGAATCACTGATCTGCTGCCTCCTGCACGCCCCTTATTGGGGATTGAGCTGGAAACCCCAGCATGTGCCCTGACCAGGAATCCAACCATGACCTGGTTCATAGGTCAATGCTCAACCACTGAGCCACACCTGCAGGGTGATTCATTCTTTTATTTGATTATTTGCTTTAATTTGCCTTAGTATTTTATCAGAGGCTTTTTCTATTTAAATTATGCCAAATTTGAGGTGAAAATAAGAGATATTGCACTGCCCAATTTGTTTCTTAAACATCTAATTTTAAAGGACAGGGTGCTAATATACGTAGGTTTTGGGAGGATGAAATGTTTTCGATTTTATAGATTTGCTGACAAGATATTGCTGTGAGCTTTAAACATTACAAGCTATTAAGGAGCAGTCACTGGATGCTTCACCTGTGTTGCTTCTATGGAATAGAGAGAAGAAACAAAGCCGTGGCAGTATAATGGCTATAAGATTAACTACTGAACTAAATAGACTTTTTTTTTTTAATAGCAAAGGTGGAAATTTATTGAAGAACAAGTACAGACTTCCATGTGGGTAGCGTGAAAGAGTCCCGGAAATAGACTTTAAAAAATGGGAGAAAACGGTTATAAATCAAATACTGTATAACAAATACCTAGACACAAAAGATTCTGATTGGTGAAACCAGGTCCCTGAAGATGCTAGTAACGACTCAACTCTGAGCACAGTATAAGGAGTTGGAGAGAATCTTAGAACCCACTGTAATAAGATTTTGTAACGTTTTAGGAAATGACTTCCCTAACTTGGGAAGGTGAGATATATCATTAATTTCAGGCATTTTTTAAGCCACACTATGTGCAAGGCATTGTACTTGCTTTGAGGTGACAGGTACTATATAATACAGCTGTTCCAAAAAGTGTGAGTAAATAAATGGCTTGATCCCTTTCTAGAGGAAGAAAAGGAATATGCATGCTGCAGTGGCTTCCTGCTACCCACAAAAAAACTACTCCAAATTTTTCTTATACTGACTTCTCAAATACCAAATCTGTCTTTGATATCTTTGCTTACTGCCTCTCCTAGCTTGATGCAGCCCTGTTAGTCCTCTCACTCATTCCCTGGGAACCTTTGTTTAGGCTGTTGGCTCTTGGTTGGCTGCCTAACTCCACCCACTCCTCACCTATTGAAAGCCTACCTGTTGTTCCAGGCTTCTCACAAATAACAGAGCCTTTCCCTGACCCTCCCCCTCAAATTCAGCTTTAATTGTTTCTCCTTCTCTATGCTCTCCATCCCAGGCATGTAGTTGTAATTTAGCTTTTTAATTTCCCTGATATCTCTCATAGGCCTTTCAGTGCTGGTTGAATTAGATCCTGACGTGTATACTGTGTTACACTGAGTCTTTGGATTGCCTCTCCCAACCCTGAAATTTATGGATTAGGTTTGATGTTATTAACATTAGCCTTTGTAGAAAACTAGAGGGCTAGACGGGTGGGCAAACTTTTTGACTCGAGGACCACAATGGGTTCTTACACCGGACCGGAGAGCTGGAACAAAAGCATGGATGGAGTGTTTGTGTGAACTAACACATGTTAACACTGCTGCTGGTGAAGGAGCGGAGGGGAGAGCAAGAGAACCCTCCGCTCTTTCGGCTCCGCGGGCCGGATAGAACACCTGAAGGGGCCGGATCCGGCTGGGCCGTTACTACAACCTTGGCCTGATGGAAAAATCAGTGTAGTGCTTCTTCTTGGCCTGAACAGGATAAATTAAGTGGTTTAGCTTTTTAGACATCAAAACTGAGCTCTTTTTTTTTTTTATATTTTATTGATTTTTACAGAGAAGAAGGGAGAGGGATAGAGAGTTAGAAACATCGATGAGAGAGAAACATCGATTAGCTGCCTCCTGCACACCCCCCACTGGTGATGTGCCCGCAACCAAGGTACATTCCCTTGACCGGAATCGAACCTGGGACCCTTGAGTCCGCAGGCTGACGCTCTATCCACTGAGCCAAACCGGTTCGTCCTGAGCTCTTTTTTTAAATAAATTTTTATTGGTATCAGAAAGGGAGAGAGAGAGAGAGAAACATCAATGATGAGAATCATTGATTGGCTGCATCCTACACAGCCCCTACTGGGGATCGAGCCCGCAACCGCAACCTGGGCATATGCCCTTAACTGGAATCGAACCTGGGAACCTTCAGTCCGCAGGCCCAATGCTCTATCCACTGAGCCAAATAGACTAGGGCAAAAACTGAGCTCTTAAAGCCAGAATTTCATGCCCCTTGACTAATAATTTATTTTTTGTTTATTGCTTAGCAGAAGGTCATAACTGTATGACTTCCTCAGAATTTAAGAATTGGTGCTTATTTTGTTCTAGTTGATTTTTTTAATTAGAATACTCCTTAACGTTTTTTTAAATTATTCCTCACCCGAGAATATGCTTATTGATTTGGGGGCGGGGGGGGGGCAGGGGAAGAAAGAAAGAGAAACATAGATGTGAGAGAGAACATCAATTAGTTGCCTTCTGTACATACCTGGACCAGGGATTGAACAAAGTGGCAACCTAGGTATGTGCCCCGACCACAGCCTTTTCATGTACAGGACTGCGTTCCAATCAATTGAGCCACAGGGCTGTTCCTTAACTTTTAATTTTATATTTTTATTCATATATTTACAAGATAATTGTATCCCAGTGATAGGTACTGGGAAAGTTGGATGACATACATACTTTCTCCATCGTGGAATATGGAGACAGGCTAAAAATTAAAAAAGGGTCTGGCCGGATAGCTCAGCTAGAGCATCATCCCTGTATACCAAGGTTAGGAGTTCAATCCCCGGTCAGAGCATACACAAGAATCAACCAATACGAATACATAAGTGATAGGTACTGGGAAAGTTGGATGACATACATACTTTCTCCATCGTGGAATATGGAGACAGGCTAAAAATTAAAAAAGGGTCTGGCCGGATAGCTCAGCTAGAGCATCATCCCTGTATACCAAGGTTAGGAGTTCAATCCCCGGTCAGAGCATACACAAGAATCAACCAATACGAATACATAAATAAATAAGTGGAACAACAAATCAATGTTTCTCTCCCCCCTAAAGTCAATAAACAGATAAAAGATAAATAAAATGTAAGATTAATAAGTGCTGCCAAGGACTTAAACGTAGGCCAAGATAAAATAATGGAAGGAACTTCCCTGAGGTACGATGGTCAGAGAAAGAACTAAACTACCTATGGGTAGAAAAGAAGAGCAAACCTTGGAAAGACCTAAGCTAGGGAGGGGAATTACCATCCAAGCATAGGGTAGAGCTTGCACAAAGTCCTGAAGTGAGCCTGGCTAGTGTTGCTAAGTGGTTAGAGCATCGTCCAGCGCACTGAAGGGTCATGGGTTCTATTCCTGGTCAAGTGCACTTACTGAGGTTGCAGGTTTGATCCCCAGCCCCAATTGGGGCTTTGTGGGGTGGCAACCAGTCAATGTGTCTCTTTCACATCTCTTCTCCTCTTGTCCTCCTCTCTCTGATCCCTCCCTCCCTTCTACTCTCTCTAAA